CAGTGCTGAGGGTGTGAAGTGGAGCCATTGAATTTTCGTCTGAGAATACAGGAGCTTTTGCACACTTTTTTAGAAAAGTGTTAAATTCTAGGTTGGCAGGTATTTCTTTTTTCTCTCACCTTGAGATGTTGTTGTGGTTCTACCTGTTTCACTTGATTTAGATTAGCTAATACTTCTCCTTAGGTAACATGTTTTCTTTCTGCTACTTTTAAATCTATTCCTTTTTCTTTGTAATGCTTTAAGACGGTGGCAAACTTACAGCACTCGAGCGGCGGTGGGCTCTTTGTGTCATTGAAAGCTCTCAGAGGTTCACCATCACTGCTCTAAGGTTTAATAATGATGTATCTAAGTATGGATTTCATTTTATTTATCCTGCATGCAATTTGTTGGCTTTTTCAAATGGAAAACTTTCATCAAAACTAGAATATTTCCAGCCATTTTCTATTCAAATATTGGCTCTCCCAAGTTTTCTTTTTACTCTGGAACCCTAGCTGGATTTATCTGGGCTCTCTTTAGGGTATTCCATTCCATCCAGCCTTTCCTCCATAGTTTCCATCCCTTTGTCTCTCTGCTGCATTTTTTGGAGTATCTCAGATGCGTCTTCTAACTCACTAATTTTTTTCTCAGCTGCAGTCAGTGTTTTTAATTCCAAGGATTATATTTTTTAATCCCTAGAGCTTCTGTGTGGTACTTTGCAAAATCTGCCTGCTTTGTTTGTACAGTCTGTTCTTCCATTCCAATGTTCTTTAGTTCCCTCTTTATTTCATTAAATGTGCCAAGTTTTCATTGTATCTACTGATTTCAGCATTTGCAGTCCTTGCAGTTCAGATTGTATAGTGTCTTTTTTTGTTGTCACTTACTGATGACGGCTTATTTCTTTTTTGTTTGATTTTTTTTTTTTTTTTATGCACCTGTGTTCTGTTCACTGTTGTCTATGGGAATTCTCTGTGGCTTGGATTGAAAGCATATTCTTCCAGAGAAGATTTGCTTTTAAAACATGTGGTCCAAGCCTAGGGGACTAATACAGCACTTGATGCAACTTTGACTTCCATGGGGGGTCATCCATACCCAGGAAGCCAACAAAATCAGGTTACCACTCCTCCCCCTCACGTGAGTGTGAGCTGTAGTTACAATGCTGGGCACCTGCTCCAAGGGTACCCTGGCTTCCTTAGTTGACTGCTCCTTACACCACGTGTTCTTTTTACATTTTCCATTTGTGTGTGTGAGATTCTTTTGGTACTTGTATGTCTAGAGGGCTGTTTGAGATTCCCTTTATTTTCTAGTGAACCCAGCAAGGTCTTTAAAATATGTCCCTGTATTTTACCAGGGATCCTTTTTATCGTCGTTATGTGAATACCTTTCAGAAGTCTCTTCTGCCACCTGGCTAGAGGCAGAAGCCTCTTATCATCTCGACCTTGTTTTTCTCCTTGTGGTTGGTCTGGGAGGACAGTGGTCCCCTTGCTCCAGGGTTCTACTTTCTATAATCCCACTGATTCTATCTGCCTTCCACATTTGGCAAAAGATCAGAGTCTTCAAATCAATGCCCCAGGAGGACCAGTATCCCAAATAATAGCTGGAGGTTTAAAGCCTGCAGTTCCAGAGGAAACTCTAGTACAACAGGTAAAGGGTGGTGTCAACACATGCTATTTAATTGTAATGGAACAAGTAATTCACTTGTAGGGAAAAAGCAGCAAAGTGGCCTTGTCTGAGTGTACACTTAGACCTTGACTTGTTAATTCCAAACATCACTTATTCTTGGCTTGAACTAGTGTGAGTTCTCGCTTTCTGTGCCCAGAATTTCCCGTCTCCTTGACTGGAGGATGAATATCAGATTTTACTTGAGATTAGTAGCATGTGGCTTTGTTGAACCACATGCTTTAAACTCTTAAGGCCCCAGTAAAATCAGGTTGCCCTTTATTCATGCTAATTTATGTTCACGGTGAGTATCATGATGTGTAAATGCGGCTAACACTGAAAAATCACAGGCATTTCAGATGTATCATATGTTAATGTTAATGAATGCTTATTTGAGGAGGTGGTTAGACATGTACCTTCCAACATGTTCAGGATGGCTGGTTCCTTTTAAGCATTTGGTGTCCTGTAATGACAATTCCTGCAGCGGGAAGCATTTGACACCAGCTCGGTGCGGCTGGCTTGCACCATCATGAATTACGTTGCAGCAAGTTATTAATAATGGAAGGAGCTTGTCACTTCCTGCTGAGTTTTGTGTGTAATTTATGGATTATAAGCCCATGCTAAAATCTCAGGGAAAGTTAATTTCATCAAAGGGGAAAGAAATATGTTTATATTTTAATTTTTATCCCCTTAAGTGATGTCTGTATGTTTGTTTTCATCCAGAAATATTGTGAATGTGAAGGATTGGTTTCCTGTCTTCGGGAAAGCTGGGGGTATTGCAAATTCCTCCTTCAACTGCCTTTTAGAACTAGTGAGGCCACTTTGAATAAGTCTTAGGGTTCTGTGAGTTTCTGTTTATTTATTTGTAGAACAGGGAGGCAGAAATTGTTCCAAAGTGGCTTGTAGCCTCATTGTCCCCACAGCCTGGGTGTACCAGAGACCCTGCCCTGCACAACATGAAGTCAGGTGACATGGAATAATTTTTTTCTTTATTCTCCTTTCATTCATGGGACCTCCTTCTGAAGAAAGTTCTCTTGTGAGCCTAATGGGTTTATAGCACCTAATACTGCATATCATCCTATGTTAGAAAGAGAGACAAGTTCTCATGTGTAAAATCTTTCCTCTTGTAATGGGATAGAGCTAAAATTTAATACCATTACTTTGATTCTAGTATCTTCCCACCCTCCCCCAAACTTTTTATTTAAGAAAATTTCAAACGCGTAGAAAAAAGGAGAACAAAACACAAAGCGCATTGTGTACCACTCAGATTCACTAGGAGTTGACTTTGTGGAACGTGTGTCTTGTTGCTTCTCTCTGTCGTGGTTTTCTTCTTCTCCCTATGTGTTCAGACAAGGGTCACACTGCTAAACTGTGATGGTCAGGCCAGTCCTAAGTCCCAAGTCAAAGCAAAAGATAAGGATTCAAACCTGAATTGATTTGTTAAAAGTCAAACGTAGCTCATCTCACTTGTCCACTGTAGTTGGACTCAGTAGGAAATTGTTTGATCCTAGCTTAGTCAACTAATTATTTTTGTGTTTCCCACTGGTTCCCTTAAACAACAATGATCAGGAGAACCATAAAACAAGACGTTACAAGACTTCCATTTTCATCTGCTTTCACAACAATGAAGAGTTAGCTACATGGTCCATTCACATTTATCAAGTTTCATATTTGGTAGCACCTCCAAATAACCTTATTGTGGCTATTTTTATGTACCTAAGAAACAGGAAATCTACAAAAAATGAGTAGGAAGGGGCCAGTCCCCAAAGATCCAGGCTGTGTACCCGGGCAAAGCCTTGAGGAATTCTCTCATTGGGGCCTCTTTGCTCTTCACACTGCATTCGCATAAGCCTCTTGACCAGCTAGAAAGAGAAATGAAGGCTGCCCCAGGAAAGCACATCACAGCAACCGGAAGTGGTAGGGATACAGCAGCAGGAGGGGATGGCAGGGAAGAATTACCGTGCACCACTGCAAACCTTCCTGTGTGCCTGGGACTTGTCATTTCATCTTCACACACCCCTGTAAGGTTGATGAAGATGCTGAGGCTCCACGATGTAAACCAGCTTGTCTGCCTCGGCCATCACTTCCCAGGTCAGATGCCACATCTTCCTAAGAGCTTTCCCCAGTCTCGTACTTCCCCCTCTAGCGACAGGCAACCCTTCCCTCCTACAAGTATTCATCCCTTTGATTTCTGCCTGCTCACAGCCATGTGCCAGGCACATCAGAAAGACAGCTGCCCCCCGCTCAGTGCAGGGAGTGTGCAGCCTAGCCAGGAAGAAGCCTTCAGCCGCTGCTCTGTGTCAGGGGCCGGCCCAAGCTCCTGCCGGTGCTAACTCAGGTCCTCAGCCCAAGCATCCTGGAAAGTGGGTATACTTACTCTTCCCACTTTGCTCATAAGGGAGCTGAGTACACTGCCCAGACACAAGAGCAGTCCAAGGCCCAGTGAGTACCACAGGGGGTGCCTCACCGTAGGGAAATTGCAAGAGAAAACCAGTCTGTGTCGCTGAGACCACAACCTTGGCAGTCAGATTTTGATTGCAAGCTCTGCTCTTTGATGAAATGACTATATGACTAATGAACTCACTCACCTTTCCAGACCCAATTTCTGGTCTGGAAGCAAGGATACTCTGGTACACTTCATAGAGTTAAATGTGATCATCTGGGCAGGCTCGGCAGGGCGTACAGGTGTGATAAGTTCAAGAAATGGTAACTCACTGCTCAACTTTGAGTTCTAACCTGGACTTGCTTTGATAGACTGTAGCATCTTCTCGACAGCTTCTGTATGTGATCCAACCGCGTATGCCTCCCCGGATCCTCCCTAAGGTCATGCATTTCTATTAGGTGCTCAGTGAATATTGGTAGATTGAATGAGGGAGGGAGAAAATGTGAGTGAATAGCTGTCACCACATGGCAGGTATCTCTTTTTGCTGAACACTGGATTTAGCCTTCTGACAAATGCGTGCTAATGCAGCAGCTTTGGAAGAGAGCGTGCTTTTTCTCTGAAGTACCCAGCCAACATCATCTGGTGGTGCCTGACTCCATGGAGCTGGCGGCTATGCAAAACCACGCACAGCTGGATTTTTATGGTTTAATGTAGGGGAGAGAGCTTCCACTGCTGTCACTTTAGAAGAGTGCTGTCCTGATGGCTCAGCCACGCAAACTGAGTGAAACGCCAGGGATGGGAGATAAGTAGTAAAGTCCAGAGTGTCAAGATTTCGGACCCTGTCTTCAGATCCACCTGTTGCACAGGTTTTTCAGTGGGTGGCTGGTGCTCGCACACAGGCGGGCTGCTGGGTGTCCTTGTCGGAGGTCTAATCTGTGTCCCGTCTCTGTCTCCCATTCCTCCCCGTGTCCTCATCCTGCAGGAATGGCATCACCAGCTGCCGGATGCGGACTGAGAGCGAGCCGTCGTGCGGCTCCCCCGTGGTCAGCGGAGACCCCAAGGAGGATCACAACTATAGCAGTGCCAAGTCCTCCAACACCCGGAGCACCTCACCCGCCAGCGACTCCATCTCCTCCTCCTCCTCCTCGTCCTCAGCTGACGACCACTACGAGTTTGCCACGAAGGGGAGCCAGGAGGGCAGCGAAGGCAGTGAGGGGAGTTTCCACAGCCATGAGAGCCACAGCGAAACAGAAGAGGATGACAGAAAGCCCAGCCAGAAGGAGGCCAAGGATGCTCTGGGGGACAGCGGGTACGCATCCCAGCACAAGAAGCGCCAGCACTTCGCCAAGGCCAGGAAGGTCCCCAGCGACACGCTGCCCCTCAAAAAGAGACGCACAGAAAAGCCCCCAGAGAGTGACGACGAGGAGATGAAAGAGGCGGCGGGGTCGCTCCTGCACTTAGCAGGGATTCGGTCCTGTTTGAATAACATCACCAATCGGACGGCAAAGGGGCAGAAGGAACAAAAGGAAACCACAAAAAATTGAAAACAAGTCACTGATTTGTTTTGAACTTATGGCCATTTGGTTTCAGCATGTCAGGAGATTTCTAATGATTTGTGGCAATATCAGCAATTTTTTTTCTTTTTCTTTTGGTTTGGTTTTCTTTCTTTTCTTTTCCTTTTTTTTTTTTTTTTAATTTGCCCCCCTCTCCTTTGTTTTGGACCCTTAAGAATTTTATGTTGAAAGGAGATTGAAGCCATAGAACTCATATTGACACTCAGCTGTTTTACAAAAGCTTTTCATTATCTGAAGACAAACCGAAAAAGCCAAACTTAGCATTGCTTCCTACAGCCTGTCAGAAACACGTGGCTGAATCCGCAGGGATGTCAACTTCAGTACCACGGGACACACACACAGCACCTAGAAGGCATGTGTGTGAAGTAGTCATCGTCCAGACCCAGCCCTTAGGTTTAAGATCTCAGATGTTCCTCCAGTTATGTTCACTGAGTCAAGGCACATTGGAGAGAAGGAAGAACCCCGTGTCCCCCTAGGAGGAGACCCAAGTCCGTGGCACCCAGCATCCCAGGTGCCAGGAGGGCCCTGGGCATTGCCACACAGTGAGTGCAGGGGCTCGGCCACCGCCATCTGTGCGCCTTGGCTTTGAAACCTGGTGACATCGTACAGGTTGAACACAGGACTCTTCAGATACATCAGGTGTCAGTGACTAAGGAGGAGAAATGGGGTACATTTTTAGTGATGTTGCTAATTATTGAATTCTGTTCTATATTAAGAAAATGTTCCAAAAGCCATAAGCCTAAAGGTTGGCCCTGCACACACACACACACACGCACACACGCATGCACACACGCATGCACACACGCATGCACACACGCACAGACACAACTAAGAGAAAACCGATGCAGAAAACAGGCCATGTCTTCTTAACTGCCCAAGTGAAAAGCAATCAAGCCCAACAAATTACAGTAGCTGTTAAGGAAGGAAATTACGGTGTAGATTCTTTTCTGTCTAACAAAACTATTTGATCCAAATGAAGAAAAAAGGAAGAAAAAAAACTACGGAACCTGCCATTTAGTGTTGTGATATATTTTTAAAAGATTCAAGGCACATTGATGGACATAAACCAGTAACACGATGAAAAATAAATAAAATAATAACTCCTATACTGCCCTCAAAAAGGAGTTTGCAATTAATGTCAGTCAGGATTCATCTTCACAAAATCAGTGGTTTTCCACATTCAGCCAGTGTAGCCAGCAGAAATTTCTAATCCACAATGCATGGATTCCTTTGAAGAAAAAGAAAAAAAAAATGACAAAAACAAACTTTTTTTTATTCAGAAATAACAAAGTTCTTGTAAGGTAAATAATGTATTTAGCATGAAGCATGAATTATTTTCATATAAATATAGAAATAGAGAAAAGGCTATGCCTCTAATTTTTAAGCCCTTAGGCTTAGAGGTTCTTTTGTTTTCTTTCTCTTTCTTCCTTTCTTTTTCTTTTTTTTCCTTTTGTTTCTTTTTTGGATTATTTTATTTTGGTGTTTTGAAGCAGGTGTTTAAGGTTTAACCTTCTTCAGGGACAAATTCTGACTGTTGGGGAACTTACTCTGCAATATAAAAATATCTTCATGCTCTGGTAGGGCTTGGATGGTTGAACTCTACACTGCCTTGTCTGACTCAGCCCCCTCCCCCTGATTCTCTGCTGAAGAGTGTGTCCTTTCTCTTTGTCTTTTACATGTTTAACATGACGCAATAATTTGAGGGCAAACTTAGTAGTGAGTGTGTATGATAGAATCAAGAGAATTATGGGATGCTTACTTGAGAAAATCATTACCATGATTGGGTTGTAGGAAAAAAAGGCAGTGAATAATTATGCAAATTCGCCAGAAGGGGAAACATGCTAATGGGCCTTATTAGGTGAGGGTATGAGATAGGGTACCTGTGAGGGAGGAGGTGACCCAGGCAGGCGTTAGGAAGGCCAGCCCCAGACACTGCAGTAAGAAGGAGGGACTGACCTTCTCTAACATTTCAGCACACTAACCAACCTGGAATTACTACCACCTAGATTGTGAGAGCTGAATTTAGACAACAAGACAATGTCACTCAGACCAGAAACTCCTGTTATCTTTGCCCAAAAGAAAAAAGAGAAAAGAAAATTTTTTTTTCTTTTTTGGAGATCCAAAGAGAAATCTCTAAAAGAATATGATCTTCCATCCAAATGGAGGGAAGTATTAAAATACAAACAAAAACACCCACTACCATGGCTCAGGATCTGATGGTTGAGGGGAAGGAGGGAACTGAAGTGACCTTGAACTTGTAAAAGGAGACATTTGTGAGCCAGAACCAGGCCCATCTGGCAGGACTAGGTACTGTCAGGACTCCATCAGCCAGGACATTGGGAATTAACTGGTGCATTCCCCAAACCTACCTTTCTGTGGGCGGCTGATGTGAGAAGCTAGAAGACATCTGCACCTAGAAGGAAGGTCAAATTCCTTACCTACCCCTGACCTGGATACATCCAGCATATCTGACGAGGTGTAGATGGGAAGACAATGTGTTTTTGCAGTGCGCTGTTCCCTCTTTCTCCCCAAGCTGCTGATGCCATCAAAGCCATCCACAGCTCTGAAACCTGAGCCACACTCTGATTTGTGCTGTCACCTGACCAAGCCCAAAAGACCACCACCAACCGCCTCAGTCACTCACACCCAAGACATCCGATTCCGACTTCCCTCCGGAAGGGCAGAGGTGAACATTCAGCGCTGTTTCTGGCAGGGGACTTCTTCCAGTGAAAACCCCACAGTGGCTGTCTCCCCTCATTTCATTTTTTCTAAAGGGGCAGAGAGGCCTCTTTTGAAAAGAATAAAATGCAATGTGTGTGATTTACTTTTCTGATCTCTTTGAGAAATAGAGAAATATCTTGTAAAAGTGTGTTCTTAACTCCAGAACCACTCTTTTCGCATAAATACCTCATCGGGCAGCTTTCTAAGTGTTATTTTCCTGAGCCTCCCTTGGCATCTTTGTCAGATCTTCTGGAAGACTTGTTGGGGAAACTTTAGTGAGGGTACTTTTTTTCTATTTTTTCTTCTGTTTTTGGAGGCATACACATTATGCATAACCAAAACAATGGCTTAATGGTGTTTAACTTTGTATTTTGATTGTTAAGGGAAAAAAAAAAAGTATTGATGTGTATGTGGCTGTTCGTAGTGACTTCATTATGGAACGAGGTTGTTCGTGTCCTTAACAAGCCAAGGGGCAAAAGGCACCCTCTCTTATCCCCTCCTCCAAGAGCAGTAGAGAATTTAAGCACAAGCCTATTTGTGAAAGACTATTTTGCTTAAGTGTAATTCACTTTAGTCTTGGAATTCCTTCCCAAACGTCAGGTGTTCTTTTAGCTTCCAAACTAGCATATGTATCCATTAGTCTGACAGATTCACCTGAACGCTGTTCAGGGTGTGGTGTTTTTGCTTCATTTCTCCTGCTGGGAGAAGCAGGGGGTTCATGTGTCATTCCAATATCTCACACGCTCACACGGGGCGGGGCGGGGGGGGCGCGGGGAACTATAGCAATATTCAACTCAAAGATGCTTTGGAAAACAACCATCAGCACCACAATATCTACAATGACTTGCTATTGGCCCTCGGACACATTTAAGAAGAAAAGACTGGAGCTCTTTTTTCTTAAATGAAATACACATAGTTATTTTTAATCCTACTCTAATTGTCTCTTATCTAGTACTCTGTGGAAAATGTTCGCATTCTAGGTATTTTCCCAGCCTTATACCACAAACCCCTCTACTTCCCTCTCCCATCTTTAATCAGTGTCTTTTGAGGAGTTCTTTGGTAAGGCCATCTATCTGAAACTGAAAAGGAACCAAACCCACATTTCGACGGTAGTTTGAGAAAACCATGGCCAAGACACCTGGGGCAGTTTGCAATGTTGGGGCAGAGTTTTGAAGAAGGAATGTCAGAGGCCTTCCCCCAGGAATGGGTTTTTCTTACAGAGGTATTCAGCATGGCTGGTGCCTGCTGGCCGCGACAGGTGCCACCATGGGACATTTGGGAAGAGGCCACTTTGTTGAATGGTGCCCCTGCCCAAGGGTCAGCACAGGCAGTGGGCTTTGTAGAGTGAAAACCATAAGAATGGCTCTCTGCCTGCTCTGAGTCCAGCCCACCGGGTCTGCCCAGCACCACGTGCAGCTGACTCGGGTGACAGCGACTCCTGTCTGCAGGGTCTCCAGCCTCCTGCTGAAGGGCTCTTTCAGAAGAAACAGGAGCCTGTACAAGTGACCTACAGGGGAGGGCTTTCCATATGGGATCAGATTAAATTCAATGTGATTTCTCTTTCCCTTTTGAATTTATTCAGATTGGGATTCATTTCTTTCTGGTGGATCACAGCTGCCCAGATGTTGCGATTTATTTTTATGTTTCTGTGGAGAAGTATTTTTTTCTTTCATCTTCAGGATTTTTTTTTTTTTTTTTTTTTTTGCCACCAAAAGAAAACATTGGAACTCTATGTCCCCTCTTGATTGTGATTTACCAGTGTTGACAGTTAAGTCCTTAGTGTCGTAGGTCCTAGCCCACCAATACTATATCAAACACTGTTATGCACATAATGCAGCACTGTGATCTAATTTAAATAATACTTTTTTATTATTTATACTACTATATATAATATACATCAACACTTTTGCTATATAACCTAAGTGATAAACCCCTTTTAGTTACCTGCCAGACTCTGGACTTTGGTTTATACTGCAGTTAACACAGTTACAAAGTTGTAATGGTGTCTCTTTTTTTCTTTGTAATGGAATGTGTAAATCAAAGTATATACATTGTGTGGTGTTCCTGTTCCTTGGAATTTCATGAGGATTTACACACGACATTCAGTGTTCTATATAGGTCTACCTACCTTTGTGAAGTCATCTGTTGACCCCCTCTTCCTTTGAGAGAGCACCAGCCGTGGTGGCTGACCCCCTTGTCTGCTCTCCTGCTGGTTATTCTTGAATTAAGCACAGATTCATCAGCTCGGTTGCTTTATCATGAATAATGTGTGTGACCTTGGCGTTCTTTCACAGTCCAGCAAACAAAGTGCTAGCTTCACTGACCAAAAATTAAGGAAGGAAAACACCATTTTTAAAACGATCCATCTTTTAACAGCCGAAACCAATGTGTCTATGGTGCTGCATCTTGCCGTTGTGCTTCTGAAATCAGACCGAGGTGAACAGACCCTTTTCTGAATTACCGTGAGATGCTTACACTACCCTTCCTGTTTTGTTAGTGTTGAAACCGAGACTATTTATTTGGAATATATACAGCAGTGTTTTTCCACTGTGTTTCATTTGCAAAAGTGGAGAAAAAGCCTTCTGCACCTTTTGCAAATAGTTGATATTCCATATTGGATTCTCAAAGACTTCGATATGGTGAACCTAGAAATTGTATTTTATCCTTTCATGATTATGGCCTGAGTTCCCTATCCCCCCACCCCTGTTAGAGGAAACCTAGCACACTCAGTTAATAAAACACGCACCATTTCTTGAGTATGTATGTTGAGGCCATCCAAGCTCATAGCTGATTCAGTAACCAGTTTCATGCCGTGTCATTCACACTCACTACTTAAATTGCCGTGGTGAAAATGTGGAGGAGAAAAAGTATCCGTGTATGTCTGGGAAGCATATACCTTGTACATTTTTTTATACTCTGATTCTTCTGTAACATTTCTGAGTTGTGTTTTTGTTTTACAGAAAAAAAAAAAAAGTGATAAAGCAATCCGAAGACCAAGAGGTTTACGATTGATGCTTACGGTCAGCTGACCTTGGCTGGCCAATAGACCTAGGTGGCCAAATTAACTTACAAGAGTAATAATTTTTTCAGAAGCCAAGTTTTTTTTTTCTGTATTTTCTGTATGAAACTGCCAATATCATGAATAGAAAGGGAGAACTAGAAAGGAGCAGGAAAGTGATGTTCAGTTGGGTTTGTGCTAACCTGAAGGAGCAGTTTGGAGATGGGTACAGTCAGCCAAACGCTAGGGACTTGGTGGCGTTGCTTGGAGGATCCATACTTGCATTTTGCATTCTTCATATGTAATCATATTGCCAAAGACAAACTATCTCATCATTTATTGTAAATAACACTTTCCCCCAGACCTACCATAAAGTTTCTGTGATGTATTGTCTTCCAGTTGCAATAAAAATTACCGAGTTGCATCAATTGAAGAAAAGCACCGTGGAGTATTATGTGCTCTGTCTCTTCCCCGTGCGCAGATGCTGAGAGTAACCTCGTTGCTGTTTCTTTTGCCTGTAGCGGGGCGGGTGTGCAGCTCTTTGCAGTGTGGGTCCAGGTTCTCGGCTGCACCTATGTACCCATCCTCTTGCATGCTTTCGTTCTGGGGGAAATCACTCACCTCTCTGCAAGTACATACATACACAGTCCGAAGCCGAACTCTCCTGTGTATCTCAGAATTTCCAGCTCTGGTGTGAGGAACTGTTGGACAGTGGGCCTTCCAGCCAGGGCCTTAGAACTTGTGGTTTGGTGGAGCTTGCTTTTCATTTAAGAGTCGTTAAATAATAAGCTGACATTGTAATGTAGGACTGGAGCCCAACAGCCTACCCGAGTCCTGAGGGTTTCTTGTGATATTCCAACCCTAAGACTCCTCTTCCCAGATTTAATATGCCCGCCCCAGCCCTTGGCATACACACACCCTATCTCAGGGTGTTTCCTGTTGCTATAACAATATACCTAGGTTGGGTGCTTTATGAAGTCAGGAAGTTTATTTGATTCATGATTCTGGTAGCTATCGCATCCAAACAGTACAGTACCGGCCTCTCACAAGGACCCCCAGTTACATCACAATCTGCTGAAGAAATGGGAACCAGCTAGTTGTAGAAGGGGGAGGGCACATGGCAAGCAAGAGGAAATGAGGCCTTTGGGGCCAGGTTTGCCTTTTCTGCATCCACTCACTCTCCTGTCAACTAAATGGGTACCAAGTCCCTTGATAACTATAATAATACTACCTTCTGCTGGGCCTCACCTTTTTTTTTTCTTTTTTGAGACGGGACCTCACTATATAGCCCAGGCTGGCCTCCAATTCATGATTCTCCTGCCTCAGCCTCCTGAGTGCTGCAATCACAGGAGTGCCACCATGGCTGGCTTTAGCCCTCACTCCCACCACCATCACACTGAGGACCACACTTCTTCCAGCAGATGAACATTTGGAGGACACATGCCATATCCAGAACACAGCACGCCCCAAGAGCCACAAAGAGCTGGGGTGCTGATATAAATAAGCAGCTCACTGGGCACCAGTCCCTGCTTGAGGAGGTAGCAGAGGAAGCTCTTCATTCTCAAGAGCTTTTCTAGGACCCTTAGTGACAATTTTGTGCTTTAATGTGCTCTGCCCACACGGCTCACCAGCAGCAGTAAGCCTACTAGAGCCAGCCTGTCCGAGCCCCTCTGCTGGGCACCCACACCCACTGGGGCCGTTGTCCTCTAGGGTGTTTGGACTGTGTCTCCGTCTCTTCGTGTGGCCGCGGTGATATTGGCAGGTCGTAGTCCATCTGTCCTGGTGAGCACAGTGGGCTGAACATTCCTCCCACAGGGCTGCTCCACACGGTCACCTCAGGATCCTGTGTGTGTGCGGTCATTGCTGCTGCCGTCTCCGGTCCCAAGCTTAGAATCCCCCTCAAAGCTGTGTCATCCCCGATGACAAATGGGTGTGTGAAGAAACTTTCCTGGGAAGAACAGCCATGGTCACTGGGCTCCACAGCTGACGCGTTGGGTATTTGGGCCGATTGAGTTGGTAATGTGTGAGGCCAAATGTAAGAGGTGGCCACCAGAAAATAGCACATCAGTGAGTGAGTCTCAAAGTGCCTGGAGGACAGACACCCACTTAGATATCAGAATAACTGAGGGAGCTCTGTCAAAAGGACAGCCCCTGCAGAATCCTAATCAGACAGCACCATCAGTCCTGTGAATTCTCAGAGCGGTGCCATCCCCCGCCCCCAGTACCGGGGATCACTGAGACCTTTGGGACATTAATGCTAAACCTGAAAGCGTGAGGGATGCTATGGTCCTGGGCATTTTCTCCCCTCTCTGTCTGATGCTGAGAGTGTTCTGAACTAAGAAATCACATCCTTGTCAAAGTTCTCAACAGGTGAGGGCGGTTTCAGAAGGAACCTAGTACTTTGACTAGAAAACTTTTATTGATGGGCAGAAAGCTCGTGTTCTGTCACCCTACTTCTCAGATCCCCTAGGAGTTCAATGGTCAAATATGTTTGGGCCTTTTTTTCATTGATAGCCAAAGCAGAGGGATTCATGAGCTAGATAAGGACAAGTTTATTTCAGGGGATCAGGAGAGGCAATTTTCTAAGGAACTTAAGGAAGTGAATAAATTTGTTTTAAATGTTTGCTCTTTTGCGTGATGTGAATAAAGCTATCTGGAACAGTGTGTTTGTGTGTGATTCTCATAGCAATCGTACCTTAATTTGAAATCATTTTTGGATAAAGCATCCTTACTGACTTGAGAACTGTTTTATGTTACTCCGTAATAAAATACTTTGGGAGTCTATGGCTACATCTCCCTCCAATACAGCAATTTATTTGAAAGGGATTGAGAGTTCTACTTTTTTCCCCATATGCTACACATATCAAACTGGGTCCTAAAAATATATAATACTGGAAGGCACCACATGATGGAAAAAATCTGAAAATAAAATAGTGGTTGATTTTGTAATCTCCCTGGGACTACAGTTCCCTCATTAAATGGGTCCATTCTGCTCACATCATAAAACTAGAAGATTGTATAAATTGTGTCAATAATAAATGGATGAATGTTTTTAAAAACAAAACTGAAAAGGATGTTAGAGACCGTGAAATCCGATGTTAGTGACCATCAAATCCGATGTTAGAGACCATCAAATCCGGAGTCCCTGATGTATAAACAAGGCATCTGAGATACAGAAAAGTTAAGGAGTTTCCCCAGAATAGTGCAGCTAACTAGTAGCAGAGCTCAACTGAGAGGGAATTTTTCTTTCTTATCTATTGACATAGCCATCTATGTGGTACATAATTTTAATGATTGGGTCCGTAGAATAGCGTACCTGGCAGCCCTCCCCTCCCCATATACACATTTAACAAGATACCTTATGCATTTCGTACAAAATGATTTTTTAAATGTTATCTTACTTTTCAATGTTTAAGTTGCTTCTAGTTTATATGAGTAACCTATAATGAGCATCTTTATGAAGGCGGCAATTTACGTATTTTTAACTTGTGCTTAGATAGCCTATTGGGCCCGTGGAACAAAAGCATCATTAGTGTGGCTCTTCATTCATAGGTTTTTTTTTTTTTTAAAAAGGAGTGAGTGCCAACAGCAATGAGTGTTAACCCCAATTTCATCACACTAAGCAGTAGTTAGGGATTTTTTTTTCTTTTTTCCTGCAAACAACAATCCTTCACTGCTATTTTAATTTTATTATTAGCAAAGTTACATTATTTTTCATATATTTAATGGCTACTTATTATTTTTTCTTAAACATCTATAGGGATTGTTTATCCATTCAAAAGAGAAAAATCAGAGTCATAGAATTGTTTTGAAAAAAACCCTAGGGGCTGGGGATTTAGCTCAGTGGCACAGCGCCTGCCTGGCAAGCGCAAGGTCGTGAGTTCGATTCCCGGTACCAGAAAAAAAAAAAGAAAAAAACCCTAATTAACCATTAAATAGTGCCAGGATGACCAATAAACATCATCTGCCTTTTAGATGCTCCTCTCATCTTCAGACATCTCAAATAGTTCTTATGTTGAGACAAAAATCCTATTACCTGAAAAATTTTGGACTAGCCTAAAGAAAAACACAAATTCAAATCACTTTCTACATGGCAACCGTATTATGTTTGAAAACAATGGTGATTCCTTCCTTAAGCCTCTTCCAGAATAAATATTCCATGTCCTGCCTACTCTTTCCCTCTCCTGGACATGTTCCAGCTTGTGATCAGAATTGAGAACAGAGCACAAAATTCCAGGTACAGTTTAATGGTGAAAACTGTCACCTCCTCCAATTTAGATCCTAAGTTACGCAAATTTGAAATTAATCAATGGAAAAGAATAAAATCTCACTGTATGAACCTTGAAATAACATAAATCCTCCCTTCTTTCCATGGGAAAGTTAGTCTTCATTTAAGCAGGTATTACATCAAATGCATTCTTAAGGTATTCCTCAAATGAAAAGTAACCATCACCCTTTCATTCATTCATTCACGGACTATATTTTAACCCAAACTGACTTCCATGCAAAGAGCTCAAAAACCATTCTTAAAATAATTAACCTAAGAGTCACACCCAGGGGGCAGTATGGAGACCATGGTTCTACTGTGTTCAGAGACTATCTGCTCCTGTTTACAGCTAAGAAGATTGAGCATAATGCTTGGTAGTACTTCTTCACTCTGTGTGCAGTTCTGTTTAGGAGACTGCCTTATCTAGCATGCTGTTAGCCTCTAAATACAGCTAAATTCACTTGAAGTAATTGGCTTCCTTTAAAAAACCCTTAGAAGTTGAGTTTAGTTACTGCCGGTACCTATTTATTTTTGAATACTTGGCCCTTTACCCAGTATCACATACATATTTAATCATCTGGAGCTTCAATAATCTGAAAATGCTGTCCAAAAACCTGGAAGGATAGAGAAAATTGTAGAGAAGAAATAGATGGAGGACATTTTTAATTTCCTCCCTCAGAGTCGTAATCAACCCCCTTGGTTTTTTGTCAGCAACTGCTATGTGCCAATCCTAATAGGTGCTGGGGACACAGATAAAAAATCTGGCTCCTACCTTCAGGCTTGATCACGTCCAAAACTCCAGCTGTGCCAATTAATGAATGTCTCACCAGCAGCTGGGATATGATTCCCCAAACTTCTCAGAAGTTGTTGGTCTTTTCTACCCGTAAGAGCATCGGTTGCAAAGAAGAACTGAGCCTTTGTCTTCCTCTCTCTCTAATCTCTCCTCTTCTCACCTCTATCAGCTGAAGAAGGGTAGGACAAGAGCCTGTTTGGTGACTGTAGACAGGGCCCTCCCTCCTACGGATGAATTATGTCTTGATGGACTCACCCTTGCTGCCTGTTCTGTCATAAAAAGAATTTGGGGCATTTCTTCTCTTCTGCACCATGCTTGAAGTTCTGAACTTGGAATCAGCTCCCATCCCTGCCCTTTTCTCGGCTTTTTCTCCCCATC